TTTTTTTGGTGGTACTGGGGATCGAACTCGGCTCCTTACACTTGTGAGGCAGGCTCTGGAACCACTGAGCTAAATCCCCAGCCCAATAGATGTTTAACTTCATTACAATCAGGGAAATACAACTAAGAAATAATGATACATTATTTTCTATTTATCAAATTGGTAAACACGTCAGTAAAGCTTGCCATTATCCAAAGAGAGTGTGGCGAAAGAAATAGCCAAACCATACAATACTGATAAAAATACAGGTGGAATACAATTTTGAGCTGAATATGCTTAACAAATTTAAAAATACAGAACTTTTGAAGTATGCACTGCTTTACATGTCTGAAAATGAACCTATTGATTGAAAATGTTGTGAGTGATTTTTATTTATTTTTGTGTGTGTGGCAGTACTGGGGATCAAATCCAGGGCCTAAGCAACTGTTGTACCACTGAATTATATCCCCATTCCTGTGCTATTCAGTTTGAAAGGCCATTTAAAAAAATTATAAACTTGAATTTGTTAAGAAAGAATTGGGCTTGAAAGCTTAAAATGTGGAAAAAATGAAATATGTACCTGCTATCTTTTATATGGATATAGTCTATGGCATGTTACGAGGCAATCTTCGTATTCTTTAGGTAGACTGCTTTGCCTATTTTCCCACTTGAACATTATCCTGATTTTAGCTGTCTTGATCCCAAAACAATGCCGTTTTACGCCCTAGGAAGTCAGAAATTTAAATCATTCATGAGGGTGTATGCCTGCCTGTAATGCCCAAACTCTGACAGGCTAAGGCAGGAGGATTCCAAGTTTGAGTCCAGCCTAGGGAAATTAGTAATACCTTGTCTCAAAAATAAAAATAATAAGGGTTGGGGATTTAGCTCAGTAGCACCACACCTGCCTCACCAGCACAAGGTCCTGAGTTTGATCCCCTTTACTAAAATACCCCAAAAAACAAAAAACCAAACACAGAGACAACACACACACACACACACACACACACAAAAATAAAAATATATGGCTGGGAGGTAGCCTAATGCAAAGGCCCTGGGTTCAATACCTAGTACCACTGGAAAAAAAAAAAGCCCTCAGGGAAAAACATCTACTTTTCTGGCATAGTCTTTCTCCACTGTTTGCCAATACCAGGTCAGATTTTGGAATCACTAAATTTCCTGAAGCCTAAGAAGGCCTAGGTAAACACTTGGAAGGGTTTTACTACTTTAGCTAAGTAGAATTGCTAAAAGAAGCAAGCAAGAATACCATGTGAAGGCAAACATACAAATACCTACAGAGACAAGCACATGGATGTAGAAGGAAAAGAACATCATTCATTTGATACTTTGCCTTTATTCACTGAACTTACCTACGTTCCCAAACTTTGCTTAAAATCTCCTACAAAGCAGCCAAGGGAATATGACCTTTTATAACCTTAACTTTACAAAGGAGACACTTAAGTTTCTGGGACCTTACATTTCAGTGAAGGAAATATCTGAATGCTAAACTAAGCAAAAGAAAAACACCAAAAAAATAGTGAATATTAACCTACCACCACATATTCAATTCTTTACCTTTTTCTTTTCTGGATTTCCAACATCTGCCAGCGCTATGAAACGAGTGGCATGCTGTGCATTTTCTTGTAGAACAATGTGGTTTCTGGAACACATTTGAGAGATTAACAGATTACCAGAACTTTATTATTCATTGCATTGATGAAACAGGTAGACTCCATTGAGCCAAGAAAAGAGCAAAAATCCACTACCACAAGTCATACGATCTCAGAGAAGCTCCCTTTCCATAGTAGGGTAATAACCGCTGCTTCACTAGGCTATTATGAAGAAATGAGATCATATCTCTGAAAAGTATCAAAATGGCAATGGGGGGTTGTTTTAATAGTACTGGGGACTGAGCAGAGCCTGGTACATGCTAGTCAAGTGCCTATCACTGACTTACCTCCCTTCCTCCCAGAACACTACCACTGAGTACTCAGCCTGCCTTCCTTCCCTTTTTGATTTGAGCTAGGTTCTCACTGAGTTGTCCACCTGGCTTTTAACTTGTAATCCTCCTGCCTCAGCTTCTTGAGTAGCTGAGATTACATGTGTGTGACACCATGCCCAGCTGGTTTTAAGAGAGCTTGGATGATTGCTAAAGTGAGGTAATGGAAAGTTGAGAATTTATTTTGCCATTTTCTTCTTTTGTATAGTAAAAAGCTAAAATAATCCCTGGTGTGGTAGCATATACCTGTAAACCCAGCACTCTGGGAGACTGAGGCAGCAAGATCAGAAGTTTGAGGTCAGCCTGGGCAATTTAGCAAGTCAGAAAGATAATGTCACAAAATAAAAAATAAAAGAGCTGGGGATATAGTTTAGTGCAAAGGCCATGGGTTCAATCCCCAGTACCACCAAAAACAAAAACTAAAAGAAATGTTTTAAGTGAAAAAACATGCCTCGTATAGTAATACATATACAGTATTTCATCTTTTGAGGAAAAAATATAAAAATACCTGAGTGTCTATATGTCATAGAAAAAAATAACAGATAGTCTATACCAAAATATTTTTTGAGCTTTTTTATGTTTTAAAAGTATTGTAAGCTGGGTGTGGTGGTGCACCCCTATAATCCCAGCACTCGGAGGCTGAGGCAGGAGGATCGCTGTGAATTTGAGACCAGCCTGGGATACATAGTGAGTTCCAGGTCATTCTCAACTACATAGTGAGACCCTGTCTCAAAAAAACAAAACAAAAAAAAAACAAACAAAAAAAGTACTGTAAAGCTGGGTGGGGGTGTAGCTCCATGGTAGACCACATGCCTAGCATGGGCAAAGCCCTGCACTTCATTCCTAGCATTGCCTCCCTCCTTGAAAAAAGAAATCTACATTGGTCAGCAAATTATTTGTAATTAAAAGAAAAATGTTTAATCAAACTAACAGAAAAGAACTGATACAAGTGTACATGTCCTTGATTCACAAAATGAACTATTTCCAAAGTGATTATATGGAGAGAATTTTCAAGATTATTCAGAATACGATTTGACCTGATGAAAACAGGATCTAAGTAGTATACAAAGTTATAATGACTACACAGTATTATTACCTCAAACTCTCAGATTTTTACAGGGATTGATAGTCCAATTCCTTTTATTTCAAGGTAGGGAACAAACTCAGAAAAGATGAATGACTTAATTTCTGGGCCTGAGTAACCAAAAGGAATCAAGATGTTGATGGCTAAAAATAAAAAGATAAATTTATACAGAAGATCAATGGTAAATTCTTCAAAATGTCAAGAAATAAATGTTACTCACCGATATGGAAGCCTCTCATAATATGACTTTTCCAAAGCAGCAAAATGATATCTTGGTTTCAAGCCTGTGGCAAGACTAGAGACCAAAGCAGAACCACATTTTTTGGTATCCACTTCTCCCTGGCAAATAGAAACTTGGTCATTCACATAGACCTGGAGATTATCAAGACATGCATCTTGGGCTGGGGATTTAGCTCAATGGTTCCACTGCCTGCTTCACAAGCACAAGGTCCTGAGTTCTGTCCCTGGTACCCCACCCTGGCCCCAAAAAAAGAGTGCAGTAAAATAAGACACTCTAAAATGTCTTTAAGGAGTAGGGGATTTAGCTCAGTGGTTCTGCCACCTGCCTTGCAAGCACGGGGACCAGAGTTCCATCCCTGGTACCAAAAAATAAAATAAAATAAAATGGCTTTAAGATATAAATCTTAAAGGGGGCCAGGGACGTAACTCAGTGGCACTGCGCCTGCCTGGCAAGCACAAGGTCCCGAGTTTGAGCTCTGGTACCGGTGGTGGTGGGGTTGTACATGGATACAAATACAGGTACTAGGAGCTGCACAGTAAATTTCATATGGCAGTCAGTGAAAATCAAGACTTATAAAGGTCCTGCACTATTACTTATGCAGAAATAAGACCAATTATTGGAAGCCAGATATTAAAAGATAAGGTTAACTCCTCCACATTAACATTCAAAACCCAGATTATTAAAACTTTTTTTTGGTAAACAGTCCCTAGAGCCCACAAACTGTGCCTGCCTGTACTCTGTGCTCTGTAGTTTAGCTGTATGCTTCACACTATAGTCAGTCATTGTCGATGCAGAACATAGAAATTAAAAGCTAGCCTTCAGAGCTCCTACTATCCATAGAATATTCAAGGACTTGTCACATAAACATACAATCTTTTATTTTGCTTCAGTCAAGGAGGTGGTGGTTTATGAAAGGGTACAACCACATCCTTGTTAGAAAAGCTTGCAAGTAACCAAGTTAGTCAAAAGTTAGGCCTATTCCCTGAATATTCCTAGCTTCTGATAACAATCAACTAAGTTGTCTCTCATCCATAACATTTATTCTAAAAGGAGGTATTAATTGGAAATAAGTGTTTATTTTCCACTAAGTAAAATGCGACTTTCTATTTTCTTTATTTGCTTCCTAGAGATTTCTTCTGAGGAGTAGGGAATTGGATTTGAAGTTGGTTATAGTATCTAATGGGCTGGTATATTATTTTTCCCCCATAAGCATCTCATATAATTACTTATAAACTTTGATCAAGATCCTGTTTTATTTCCCCTCAAAAGGACTTCATTTTTTTATTCTTCTTAGAGAGGATCATTTATGCTTTTTCTCATCCATTGTCACTTTATCAGCCCTTCTCTGGCTCTTCTCTAGGTTTGCAATATCTAGGTTTGCAGCAGTGCCCCTCACATCCTAGGTAAAAAGTAGGCATATGTTGGTAGAAGAAGACAGCTCTGTCCTTTTGCAACATCCTCCTTTATTTATTTTTATTTTTTGGTAATAGGGATCGAACTCGGACCCTTGGGCTTACAAGGTAGGTGGCAGAAACACTAAGCTAAATCCCCGGCTCTTCCAATATCCTTCTTGACAATGTTATTATCTTGTTGGCCTTTCTGGTCATAGCCATGACCAAAAGTTGGCAGGGAATGGTCTACCTATGGGGTCCTCTCCTGGGTCATTACTGATAACCTGGAGCTCACCCATGGGATTCTGTCCCCAGATACATTCTTTGGAGGTGGGGGGTTGTTACCAGGGATTAAACTTAGCACCTTGCATTTCAGAGGCAGGTGTGGTGGCCATTGTTTTGCTTGTTTGTTTTTTTAAGACAGGATCTTGCTATGTAGTTTGGGCTGGCCCTGAACTCACTAGGCAGGCCAAGCTTGCCTCAAACTCATGGCAATCCTCCTGCCCAAACCTCCCAACTGCTACGATTATAGGTATGCACACCATGCCCAGCCACAGATGCATTCTTATATTTCCCTCTACTGAGGTTCAATCAATGCTTTCTGCCCCCAAAACCACACAATGTTTTTTATTGTTTTTAATGCTGGATATCAAACTGAAGGCCTCACACGTTAGGCAAGTATTCCTCTACTGAGTTATACCCCTGGCCCAGAGAGATCCTACTCAAGATCTTCCTTAGGCTCATGTCCACCAATGTAGTATTTCAATCCCCATGGCGAGGGATTTAGCTCAGTGGTTCTGGTGCCTGCTTTGCAAGTGCTAGGACCCAATTTCGATTCCCAGTACCAAAAAAACAAACAAACAAAAAATCCCCATGATAGCTGTCACTCCTAGTGTACATTTTTCTCAAGCTTTCTCGCCAGGTGTAATGCTGCATACCTGCAATCCCAGTACTCAGGAGGCCGAGGCAGGAGGATCACCATGAGTTCAAGGCCAGTCTGGCTACACAGTGAGTTCAAGGCCAGCCTGGACTACATAGCAAAACCTTGTCTCAAATAAACAAACGTTACTTATAACCTCACAGAGTGATAAGCTACAGTGTATGCCAGAAATAAAGTATTCCTAACAGGAAAGCTTAAAAGTTTTCAACACTTTGTTTCCTATCCTTAGATTGCTATACACAATCCCATAATGACTCAATTTTTAAAAATATTTTGACAGGGCCTAGGATTTAGTTCAGTGGCACTATGCCTGGCACAAAGTCCTGAGTTCGATCCCCAGTACTGCGGGGGGGATATTTTTTGACAGCAATAATCTGGAATGGAAGGAGGAAATGCAACTGCGGAGTTGCCAAAGGCTATAAATCTTTTCACTAAACATCAGTGAAACCTCCAAAACATATTAAGAGGAGGCATGAGAGCAGGTACTTGAAGCAGAGAATATTAATTATTTATTTTTTGGTACCGGGGATCAAACTTGGGTCCTTGCACTTGCGAGGCAGGTGGCAGAACCACTGAGCTAAATCCCCAGCCCCACAGAGAATATAATTTAAATAAGCATTCATTTATAATAAGGAGTTTAGCAGTCTCATCATACTTTTAAGATCAATTTTTGCTTTGACCAGTTTATATAGTTTTTAGGATCCTGAAAAAATTCACAGAAGATTCCTACTGAAAGGCATTAAGAAGTAAAATACTCAATATAAAAAGAAAAAAATTTTAAAAATCAAGAGCCCAATTTAAGCCAATGCAATTTGCTTTTAGAAATTCAGAGTGAACAAGCACTACTCACAGAAGCATTTCCAAAGTTCCCCACATACTTGGGCCATGGGGATGTGAGCAAGATATCAACACCCTTAAACTGGGATGTTGAGCACAGCATCGTTTGCAGAGAAGATACATCCTGGGGACTGAAACTGTAATCTGGGACTGGCTCATTTAAGGACTCGGTTCCACTGAGGTACACGATCTGCAAGCCTGAGCTTCCAGTGAAGGTACCTTTACGACCTGGATTCAAAGCAAAACAGGTAAGTTTTAGTCAAAACTTCAGAACATCACCAACATGGCACTGAGTCACCATGCTCAGGACTCTACATCCCTGCCAATCTGCATGCTTGAAGGAGTGTCAAATTTTTTGTAGCCTCACCAATTGCCTGCCAGGTATCAATATAGCCTGGCTCCAACAATATTCCTGTTCAGTAAGTCTGAGAAGCCATCATGTCAAGGCTGATGTTACCTACAGGTCAGTCTGTTTACACTAGGTGCCATATATTATTGATAACAGCTGAGAAGCAATGATTAAGAAAAATGCTTTTTGCCACTTAGAGATGAATTTACGCAGACTAAAAGAAACCTAGACACCTAGAAACAGGAAGAGGCAGTAAGAAGAAAAAAATAAATACAGTGCTGAGGAACCTTCAGTCTACAAATGAGGTACTCTTTAGGAAGGCTGCAACTTCCAAGTGAAAGAAAATATTGTAAAGAGCAACTGTTTGGGAAAAATTAGACACTATTCTCTTCTAAAGTCATGTTCCCAGCTTGTGGCCCTAGTTCCATTCCTCTGTGTTCCCTCCCAGACTCTGCTCCATCAATTTTTCCTTCCTTTCATTTATTGAGTCTTCTGAACAAGCTTCTTAACTGTTTAGAAAAGAATAAAATATGCTTAATACTAACTCATTTAGTATGTACTGAGTGAGCACAAAGAAACTTCATTCTTTACAGCTTCCAATTTCTGAAGAATAGTCTTGAGTTCTTCACTTTAGTTTATATACCCTAGAAAGAACTTCTAACTGGATGTTAGGGGTTCTGCCAGCACTTCAAGCTCACTATCACAGGTCTGCCATCAAGATCACTGCCTGCCAGCTGGGAATATGGCTCAGTGATACATCCAGCGCTACCCGAACATGTGCAATGCCCTGGGTTTGATCCCCAACATCAAAGAAAAAAAACAATTACTGCTTGTGCCTTCTACTGGATCTCAAAAATAAATTTAATGTACAAATAAATTTAGTACCCAGGCACTATTCATTTGGCAAAATGTCTGCCAAATAACAAATATCCAAATCTAAAACTACACTGATAATTGCTGTTCAGTCAGGCCTGTGTTAACATCTACAACAAATGATCTTTATCTACTTATTTACTTTGGGGGATTAGGGATTGAGCCTAGGGAACAGTGTACTGGGATGAACTCCTAGCCCTTTTAAAACTGTTTTATCTTGAGACAAAGCCTCACTAAGTTGACGAGGCAGGCTTCAACCTTGTTAACTTCCTGCTGCAGTTGTCCAAGTAACTGAGAACATAGGCATGTGCCACCATGCCTGGCTCAACATATGCATTTTACAATTGTGGTTAAAAAACAAAATAAGAGGCTGGGGACATAGCACATGGAAGAGCACATGTGAAGCTCTGGATTTGATTCCCAGCAACACACATAAACAAACCAAACAAAACCAAAAAAAGTAAAAGACATATTAAAAATCCTTTCCTCCATTTTTTGCTGAATCCCATGACTGGAGCAAGATGAGACTGCTCACATGATGACCATAGCAAGATATAGAGACCAAGGCCAAAATGGACAATGGTGGGGAGAAAGAAAGGGGCACTTATAGCAAAGAAAATACAGAAGCTTTTTAGAGAAATAAGACAACAAAGCAAAAATGCAAAGAACAACGGAATTATTTTTAAAAAATGAGTTGAATGACCTAAGAGGCAGTAAACTGAAGCAGGGGAAAACAAAAACAAAATCTGAAATGACCACATACTGAAAAAAAAAAAAAAAACCTCTAAAAACAATACAGAGAATTGTACAGGGAACAACGGTAACATGGAATTGAACAATAGATCTGAAATTGGACAAAGGGAGTGAAAAAAGCCTAAGGACAAGCCCTAAAAACTTCAGTTGCCAAAACCTGACAATGAAACTTAAAGCTAAGCTTGTGAGAAACCTAACAAGTAGGCTGCAGAACTCCAGCAAGGTTTTCGGTATGGCTACACAGATGTAACCCTTTATCGAACATAAGTCACACTGGAGGCGAGGAGTATATTCCTCTGGTTGGCTGAAAGGAACAAAACGGAAAATGAGTGTAAGTGGGAGAGACAACAAAGGAAAAACACCATTGTCCTAAAGGCATAGCAGCCGTTAGTCAAGAATTTCCCCAACTCCATTCTCTCAAGCAGTGATGGCAAAAGAATCTGGCCAAACATTTCCTGGGAGATTAATTCTTAGAAACATTGCATTATATTCATCACACAAAGAACAACTTACCCAGATAAGTAATATTTTCAGCTAATTCACACCCATCAGCATCTTCGAAATATTTTACCGTTTCCTGGTTATTGGCACCAAGCACGTATGTCTGAATAGGAGCTAATGAGGGAAAGAGAAAGGAAGCCATATAGTTACCAGATCTGCTTTGGAATACTGAGAAATTCTTCTCGGTATGAAAAATGCTTATAGTAAAAATAGTCTATGCTTTCCCTCACAGCAATCCTAAATGTGGAACATGCTTACCATTAACAATATCTTATACCCAGCCTTGAGGGTGCACTATTAGGTGACATCACTAGATCAATGAAGTGGTATCTTAAAGTGGATGGTCAATGTATAATACAAATACGGAGCCTACATAGCTTAATTAAAAAAATACCAACACTGGAAAAAGGAAAGAACACATTTGACTGCATGTATTCAGTTCCTGCCAATCAAACCAGATTATTTTTCAGGAACTAAAATGAACCTAATTCAAAAATGTAAACATGTGGAATATGCATATGTATTCTTTCCAGCTCAATGAAGAGTTTAGGAGGGAAATTTTAAAATAACTAATAAGGAGGAAACAACCCAGCTAGAACTCTAGCAGTTGAAATTTTGTTAGAGATCATATGTTCAACAAAAATAATTTCAATACCTTTCTTGATGCCAGTCTTATACTCCTCCCATTCAGTATCTGGGGTGCAGCCAAAGAAATTTCCTACACACAACAGCAGCTAAAATGAGTTTTTTAAACAGACATATGAGATTGTTAAATATCAAACCATTTATTATTGATAGTAACATTTGGCTATTTATCCTGCTTAATAGTCTTAAACCAAGTTTTTAGTCTTCATCAATTTGCAGAATTTCACTGCAAGAAAATATAACAGTAATTCTGACAGTTACTGATTCTGAATTATTAAATTTTGGCTCCCTGCCTATCAAATTCAAGTTGGGGAAAGGGAAGAAGTAATCAGGAAACTGAATTTTCCAATGAAGTCAGAATTTATTCAGAATTTAAGGACTCCTTAAATATTCCCAGGCCCACTCTGCCTTGGCTCTCTTTCCTTGGAATATATACAGTGATGGAGAAATAGGACTTTAAAGAATTCTTCTGTGAAATACAAAATTATCCCCACATCTAGAATATTCTTCTATAACCCAGACATGTACAATCTGGTTGGCAATCATATATATTACTGATTGACAGCTCTTTATGAAGCATTTGCACACATTATCTGATTTAATCTGCACTGTATTTATGAAGATAATCTGTTCTTTCCAAACCCAGAGATCAGAATCACCTACAAAAATTTTTAGCCTGTTTTCAGTTTTTTTACAGTAATAAAGTAACAAGACTCAAATGCAAAAAGGTATACCACACATTAAATAGGTCTCTTTTCCCCCATCATCCCACAGCTACTAAGTTCTCATGTACTTAAAAGAAACTCAGTCTATCAAAACTGGAGAGTCTGTGTTCAATCAAGAGATTAATAAAGGAGTCTGAACTTTATGTTTGACTACATCAGTAAAATTAAATTCAGTAAAAAGTAATGTCTTACATCAAAGTTTCCACTTTTCTTCTGAATTGCTCGAACTCTATTGAACAAAACATCAAACTTTCCTTCAACATCTCCACAAGCCAAGCTGCAAACAACAGATAAACATTATGGTGATTCAGGAAACACAAATGGGTTGCCAGATTTGGTATGCATATACTAGTTTTCTGGACTAGGTAAGGAGTGATCCAGTCTCTGCACTTACCTTACAAGGTTTGACACTTGTAAACTATTATTAACCACTGAGCAGCTCCACCTGAAGGTCTCAACAATCATATCTAAACTCATCATATCTAAACTTTGGGGTTTTATTTTCTTCACAATTGAGCCAGCTTCTTCTTCTTATGTGAAAGTTTTATGGACGGGTCTATCACCACCTTGGTCACCAAGAGTCCAGAATTCTCTATCTAGTCACCAAGCCCATCAAGCCCTTTTTCCAAACATTTTTCATACTAATTCTCTCCTTATTTCCAGTACCTCTATCTTAGTAGAGGGCTTCAGTCATCCATTCAACACATATTAACACCTATATTAAGTGCAATCTTCCAAGTACAATGCTAAGAACATGTGAGCAGTATAAAGAGGAGCAAGACCAGTAAAGCTCCAGAGTTTACTATCAGGTAGAAAAGAAAAGATATTCTGTTAAGTTTATTTTTATTTATTTATTTATTGAACTTGAGACCTTGCACTCGCAAGGCAGGCAATGAAACCACTGAGCTAAATCCCAGGCCGTGATAAGTTTGTATGGAAAGATACTCTGATAAGTTTAAATAGAAAGGGCTATGAGAGGAGGCATGAATATGGGGCAGGAAGTAACATGTCAAGCACCAAGACTGGTAAGGCAAACTAGCCTCAAATTGTTAAGTGACTTGTTCTATCCTTTCATTTCTGAGTTTTTCTAATTCTGATTTATATGGTTATCCTACTTCTTATATCATTTCCTTAGTATCTTTTTTACTCTTTCAGCCATTTATTTCTTTAATTACAGTTTGCGTTCAATGCCAATCAATTAAATGAGATGTTACTATGAATCAAAGCATAAATACACAATATTCAATCAAACAGATGTGGAGCATTCAGACATGAAGCAAAATGGAATGTTCATTTACACATACAGTAGCTACAGGTGTTGACCTGGTTGTTGTGTAGGTTTTTAAAGATGGGGAAAAAAATGACTTGGATTATCAAGACTATTGTGGTTCTATTAGATATTAGAACTTGCAAGCATCAGTGTGTGACCATGCTGAAACTTCCCAATACTGTCAGTCTGATCACTCTGTCTCTGCCATTCCCTAGAGGATATTACCTCTCTTAACGGTCCTACCCTACCACCCTGAGTCTGAACTTTTCCCATCCTTCAAGGCCCACCAATGTCTCTGAAACGTTCTTGACCAATTCAGGAAGCCACTCCCTTCTCAAAATCTCAGAAGTCCACATAGCATCTCAGAACAAGCTGTCACAAATGGTCAAATTTCTGATTTATCTTCTGAACACCAGTTCTTCTAGGGAACCATCCAGTCCCTATTAGTTACCAATTTTTGATACTCCCACAGGATTCTGCGCTTCTTCTCCCATAGTAATTGTTACAGGGAATTATAATTATTTCTGGGAGATGGAGTGTCCAGTTTGTACATCATAAGACACCTCAAAAATTATTACCCGCAGGCTGAGGATGTAGCTCCACGGTGAACTGCTTGCCTAGCATGAGTGAGGACCTGATTTTGATCCCAGCGGACCCACAAACATATATATTTTTTCATTTGGGCCCCTTTTCAGTATTCCTTATCCCACTGAAGGAGTTCTATAAATGAACAATGACAACTCACTCACAATCAAATCAGCCTTATTGATTTCACTTCCTTAGTAAACTTTCAATTCCTGAATTTTTTCTCTGCTACCACTCTAATCCTACTTGTCCTCTACTTTTGGTCTTACTTATTTCCCCACTGCAGCCAGAATCACTTTCTAAAACGAAAATTTGATCATGTCGATAAGTATAAACGTTTTAATGACTTCTCTGGGTTAAAGACAAAAGATATTTTAAAGGTCTTAATCCTATTTTTCTCAGGGAAGACTCCCCTGATTCCTACCATTAAGCTAAATACTACTCTACATCCTTCCAGAACCGTGTTGCCGTAGCACTTTTGTAATTTTACGTTTATCTGCATTCTTTGATTAATTACTGTTCCTCTAGCTCCATTAAAGCGGGAACTCCACCTGTGCAAAGCCTAGCACTGCGCCCAGCGTAATGCAGTTACTCAGTAAATACCTGTTGAAAGAACCAAGTTCTCTCTTCGCTATCGTCTCTTTCACTACCTCCCCTCACCCAAGTGCGCCTAGACAGAGCTATTCTCTATCCTTACCGTCAAGCCTTACTAAAGGCTCATCAAGTGTCCCCAAGGTTTAGAAATATCTGGTTAATAAACAAATGAAGGGGAGATGATGTGTCACAGGCCAAGAGGGCACAAGATGAAGGAGTCCGGACTCCGGGAGCTTACGCCTCTCTAGGGAGCGTTGCCCAAAATCCCTTCCCGAAGGCGAAAATCGCCAGCAAGAGGCCTACTACACACACACACACACACACACACACACACACACACACGCTTCCAATTCAGAGACACTCACAGGCGCAGAGGTTTCTGAGCCATTAGTTCCAGTTCCCTTGGCTGGGACGACCACCTAAAATCAGAAACAGGAACCCACGCTCCTAGGAAAATGCCACTGCGCTACAGCAATACGTCAGTGTACTTTAACCAATGAGAGTGCAATAGCTACGGAGAGCACCAAGGGACAGAAATCTTTCGGGTGGTTTCGTCTCGAACTGAATTAGGAGGAAAAGAAAGGGATAGCGAGAGAAAGAGGAAACGACCAGCAGAATACCAGTTATAAATGCCACCCCCAACCCGCTCAACTGAAAGTAGCTACAAGTAGTTTCCCAGCACAATATTGAGCCCAAACCTAACCTAACCACATTGGCTCAGAGAGCGAGCCTGACCCGCTTCATTCACGTCTTTAAAAGTTTTAAACCTGTCACATAATTAAGAGTAATGGCCATCATTTTGATTCAGTATCAGCACGTTACCAAACTTGTGCACGCTATCAAGGTACCCAAGCAGTTTTTTTTCTTTGAGTCTTTTGAAAGTGAAGTCATCAGTAATACTTTAGCATTTGTCTAAGAGCAAGGACCACAGCCAGTTGCGGTGGTGCACACCTGTAATCCCAGCTCTGGGAGGAGGATCCCAAATTCTAGCCCAACCTGGACAATTTAGGACAAAGGCCCTGGGTTCAATCCCCACTAGCAGGAAGTGGGAGGGTTAGGGGAAAAGAAAGATGGGAATGGAATTGACGTGAGAAAAAGGAAAAATGGAAACAAAGTCTTTGTAGATAAGGAGGGGTGGAGGGGTTGAAGGGAGGGCAGGGGAATGAGGAAACACTAAGAACCAAGATGGATTATGTAAAGGTGCAATTTTCCAGTGATGAATGTCAATACCTTGTATACCTTGAATGTACCAATAAAAGTAATTAATTAAAAAAGGAACATCATCATCCAACATAACCACAATACTGTTAGGATATCTAAAAATTCAACATTAATTCAATAACATCACCTAATACACACCCATATTTGAAGTTCTCCAGTTGCCCTCCCCAGGTTGATTTTATGCCTGTTTATTTTCATTCAAGAGCAAATCAGATTTCACACTTTCATTTGCTTCTATCTGTAATCTCTTAATCAACAAAACTCTACCAAACTTTTTGGTTTTGTTTTTCACCTTGACTTTTCTGAGTTGTAGGCTAATTAGCAGGAGACAAAGTGTACAAACAGGAAATGGAAACAAAGGAGAGTTTCTGACAACTGAAGGATATCCAAGTAAGTCAAAATTAAACATAAGTTTAAGCAAAAACTCCAAAGCTTTTGTGGCTTTCCCCCACAATTTCTGCAATGCTTTTAGGGGGAATTCTAATTTCTTTACCACATAAATGTTGGTGCCCTTCTTTATTGGCACACAGAGCATGCATTTTTCCCCCCACTTTTTCATTAATACAACACTACCAGGAATGGCATTGAAGATTGAAAGTTTGTCAAGTATGTTCAGGCAATAAATCCTAGATGAAGAAATAACACTAAGCTATGAAAACTCACTCGTGGAACTCTGTACTATCTGTACAAATTTCCTGTATATCCAAATCTATTCTAATGTTTATGAACACTTACCCATAGAAATTTAAGGTAGCTAAAGAGAGCTGAACATAAATATAGGAGTAACAAGAAATGGACTTGAATTTTTTAGAGGCTTTATATAAATATGGTAGTAATTTTCAGATGCCAGAGTCACGAAAGGATTCTAAGTGGGAGTAATATAGCTAATTTACATTTTAGAGATTGCTGTGGCAGCACTGTGCAAGATGGTTTAGGATAGTTGAGAAAGGACCCAGTAGTATAAAGGAAGAAAGGACAAGTGGTAGTATCTGGAATAGACATAGTGGGAAAAACAGAAACAAATAAATTATTTTGGAAATGGAACTGGAGGTATCTGTGATCTTATTAGCTTCTAACACTCTACTCTGGATAAGATTGCTTCTATTCCAACTGGTTATTTAGTAACTTTTATCTTCTCATGTCATTAATGTAAAAGGATAACAATCAGGTTCCCAGAAGTCCTGCCCTAGTCCAACAGACACAAATATGAAAGTTTTTAAAATATTTTATTTCCTGGATGCCAACTGTCACTTCTTCACCCAATACACACACATCTTGTCTTCTTTTCTTTTTTTTGTGGGTGTGTGTTTTGCTATGTATTCCAGGATGGCTTTGAATTCACTATGTAGCCCAGGCTAGCCTCAAACTTGTGGTGATCCTCCCATTTCAGCCCCTCAGTGCTGGGATTACTATACCGGCTTTATTGTGTTTCAAAAAGAGAAAATATGTCAAGATACCATCCCACTGAGACATCTGACTCACATAGAAAAGAGAAAAGAGGGGCCCATCCCAATCACCAAGATAACAAAATATTCCTTTCACCACTTCTGCTCAGTCTATTAAGATTCAGTTTGGAATTTTTTAAACATTTTGCTATTTGCAATGCTATGGAAAAGTAAATTACTGACATTCAAAAGGTAACAGACTACAAAAACCACATTCGTTTTGTTTTCCTTTTTTAATTGTTAATCTTGTTAATAACATTAGCATTGTTACTTAAAAAACAACCATTTGCACAGTAACTAAAAAATCAGCCATTTAAGAAAATAATATAGTAATCCACCACTGTCAAGAGAAAACAGGTCCTCTCACTTGATTCTACTGGTAAGCCCAGGTTTATACTGAACTTTGAGAAAATATCTGTCTTGAATGGATGATGAAGCATTCAAGTAATGGGTAAGGAGCTGTAAGTGTGAATTTCTGACAGATATTCCCTTTAAGGAGGTTCAAGAGTATCCACAGTCCTCTAGTTTATCCAATGTTGGGATGTTCCTGGGATGACCAGCAAGATTTCCTTTTGAGGAACTTTGACAATTCACCAGCCTCAGGATCCAGTTGCTTTAAAACATTCTTCCACATTAAAAAAAAAAAAAAAAAAAAAGGCCTTGTGATATAGGAATACGTCTTTCATCGCTTCTCCAGCTTCTTATACTTGGCTTCTGCAAGGGGAAGAGAAAAGCAAGGCGTCTTTTAAGACTGACTCTCACAAAGACACTTAGTATTTCCAAGCAAGTTTAGATATGCATATTATATTTCTAAAAATCTGTTAGCTTCAATTTAATTACCTTCCCAAAAATATATATCATTAATCTGTCCAAAACTGAAACTAAGTCAAATGTATATACTCAGAACCAAAACAAGGTCACTAAGTTCTAACCCTGTTAATATTGCACTTGCTTGAAAAGCTTCACCAGAATTGAGCAGATCTCCTGGTATTTGGCCCATGTGGAGTCTTACTAAGCACCAGATACTGCCTTGTCAAGCACAATCCCAGGTACTTACTGGAATCAGACTGAAATACTCAGTATGTGTAGATGTATGTTTCCCCTTTTATGTTCTTATCCTTGCATCTCACTCCAGGAAAGCAATATGGAAAGATACAGAGATTTTTAAAGGCCATCTAGCCTCTTGCTGTAAGATTCTCTTTTTCCCTTTAAAACTTTAAAATAATACTACCACATGGTATGATGCCTTCTGTAAGGTAAGGTTCACAGTAAACATGTACTAAAGGTAACTGCAGTCAATGAAAGTGTTTCTCACTACCAATATTAAACTTCAGCTTGCTACAAGCCACTTGAGTTAGACGCTAAATGTCAATGATGAAAATAAAATAATGTGCATAGGATAAAAACAAATCCATTACTTTTCACCAGTGATATAACAACAGCCAGAAACAGTTAGCAACACTAAAAGTATTAGTTTTCTTCTTAAAGTAAAAGTAATCCTTCAAAAAAAATCTTGATTGACTATTCCATTTCAGCAGTCCATTGCCTTAACCACTCAGCCACCTTGTCCCACAACTATTCCATTTTTAAGACACGTGTATGTACCTTATTAAAGATGATTCCGTATACTGAACCACAGCTTGAGCACTGTCATCAAATAGTCCTAACTTGGAATGTGGCTCTTCCATGTGCTTAACTGACTTTGTTCCTTAAGGAAGTTACTTACCCTCTTAAACCACATTTTCCTCCCCTACAGTTTGGGAATAAAAAGATTATGTACTTAACTCACATCGGGGAAAAAACAAAATATGTATACAAAACACTAAGAATATTGCCAAGTAGGTCATTAAAATTTTTAATAATTATTATTCACTGGTTTTCAACAGATCAATGTATGCACACAACAAGTGCTACATTAGTTAAGGACATCACTAGTAAGACACACTCTTCATGAAATCAAAATAGAAAAAAAGAATGGTTACCCAGTTTTTTGGAATACGCATCCAGCTTGTAGGCTGCCTGTTCAAGAGCTGCTACCTGCTCCTCAATTACATTGATCTGATCCAGGTAAGGCTGTAGTCCAGCATCTTTAAAGACAAACCACATGTGTATATATTTTCAACAAGAAGTGTAGAAAAAGAAAAGGATAGAAAATAAGAACGATACTGTCTCTTCAGCTACGGCTCAAACAGACAAGGGTGACATGTTTCTCATCATTAGTGGGGCAGGTGATTTCTTAGAATACAGTAACTCATAATCAGGCACAATTGTGACCTAGTCAAAGTAAGTTTTCTCTTTTTCAAATCGCTTGTTTCTCAAGCAACCTTTCTTTCGAGTGCAGTGATGGCAAACCTCTTAGAATTTCAATAATATGAACAGCCCACTGCAGAATGCATGCCACAGGTTTGCCACCACTGCCCTAGTGACAAGGAACACAAATATAAATCAGTGAAAAAAATACATCCAACTGTTCTAAATTACCCTTTTCCATTTATAGATTTTGTTTTTCTGGTATAAATAGAAGTCTTTTATGGATGAGAGTAGTCCTTTATGGATTTCATTATAAATCAGCTCACTGGAAGCTGTCTACACCTCTTCTACTCCAACCCCTTTTAGAACTGAACTGATAAAATCAAGATTTGGAGGCAGGAAAAAACATACTATCAAAGCATGCTAATCTTCAGAAGAGAAGAGATTCACTTTGATTTTTTTAATTCATTTTTAGAAAAGATCCCCAGGAGTTAGGGATTCCACGTTCCCTCCTCTTTTCCTTGATTCCAAGCACAAAAGAACATTTAACACAAGCATCTTTAATTATAAAAATTACTTACACTTTTGGTTTAAGTCCTTTAAGTTTCGACTAATGTTTATAGCAATATCTTTCATTTCCAGATACTTCAAGCTGGTTAATTTATTCATATTTTCCAGGAGCTTATAGTCTTCACTGGTGGCTTTAAAATAAACAGGAGATATGAGGCCTTTGAGATTGTCTTAGATCACTGGAATGTAGACTATTAGGTCAAGTAGTAGTTCAAGGCAAGACAAAGACAACTCCTCCTCTTGTGCTCTTGATCCCAAACCTTTTGCCTCTTCAGACCTCTTTTCAATCATCTCCTTTCATTCGCCTTTCCAACTTGTGTCTCCATCCTGGCACATTTTCCTCCATCTAGAAATATATTTAGGTTTCCTCCCACTCCAAAGCATTCCCTTTACTTATTTGTTCAGTAAGGCCAAGGAACTTTACTGCTAAACAGTTTTAAATACTAGCTGACACTGCTACCTGTTCCTTACCACTCATTCACGTAAACCCTTGTCTGTTCTGTCCTCACCATCCAGAGAAATTACAAGCTTTAAGGTCATCAATGGCCTTCTAACCAACAAACCCTTGGCGTTTTCTAAGCACTTACCCTCCCATACCTCGCCAATGTCTCAGACCTCACTATTATGCTTCTCTTGGAGAAATCCTCATTTCCCTTGGCTGCTATAGTATTGTACTATGTTTATTTTCCAATATCTTTCAGACTGCTCTTCGTTTCTATGCCAGACCCTTTCTCATTCAACCCCTTCAACCAACAGCTCTCAACTTCTCAGCTGTGACATGTAACTGATATTTACATTCTCATGGGCATTCCCAAGATCCTAGCTTCTTCCCAAGCTAAAAAAAGCATTTGTGCATGTAAGAATGACAAAAATGGGGAAATAACAACCTGTTTAAAATTAATTTTGTAAGAAATAGATCATTAGGAATACTTAGTATTTACACAGTTATTAAAGACAAGTTAATTGGCCCATTCAGGAATTCCCCAACACTGTAGGTCCTAAAGAGGCCTACTCTAAGCTCTTCCCTGGCAATATCCTCCTGTCCAGCATCCATTCTTATAGCATTCTGCAAGTGACTCTTTCTCTTACTCTGATTAGGCTCTGAGCTCTGGACTCACATGTGCAAATCACATGAGTGATTATTATGACTATCTTGAAAAAAAGTCATCTGACTGCCCTAGTAACATACAAGCAGCCAAACCTGACAACACTATTTTCACAGTAAAAATCATTTCTCCATATTTTGTTTGACTATATCACCGAGGCCTAAACCTCAGAAACATATTAAGCTGTTCAATACACACTTCAACAAGTCCTATAAAGTTTACTTTTGTAACATTCTTACACCCACTCTCTTCTTTCCATTCCTTTTACCATCACTCTACCTCAGACCATCACTGCTTTGCATCAAAACTATTGGTCATCTATCTTTGGTCTCCCTCCTTCATATCTGTACTCTCACTACTCTCAAGTTATAGTCTCTCTGAAACAAGGAAGAAGTCAGGAAAGATAGAAACCTGCAAAATAATGTAAACAAGGGAAGCAAGTCAGATGTTTGCATATTAAACATACATAAGAAAATCATTCACTTCCATAAGTGTTCCCTCCCACTTCTTGAAGCATGTGGTCCTCTTAGTCTGTCACTTTACCAGTTTTGATAAAGACATTGGTACAGAAAACCATTTTTGCACCCCAATTAGTAAAAATAACAATAGGGGAATAGTGACAAATGACAACAAACAGTAAGTCTTAGTAAAGAGGAGAAAATGGAGTAGGGGGACAAACTGAATCACACTAGTCATTTTAGAGGAGGCATCTGCTCAACTCTTTGCTACATACAACTGCACACAATGGGACATTAGTGTTGCCAAATCTTTAGAATTTTTAGAGAGAAGTCAAAAATTTAGATTTTGTTGCTTGATTTGTCTATTCAAAAATAAACAAATAATCACACCAATTAAAACTCACAACCCCCCCCAGAGCTCCAAGCCTTTTCTCATAAATTTAGTTCACAAATTTAGCTCACAGCAATTTCCTGGGGAAGTGAAACAATACAATACATGCTTATGAGAGACATTAAACCAAACTACTTTCTGACTCTTCTCCACACAGAGACTATATGTCCAGCTGGGTCAACCAGATATTAACCATGTCCCAAACAGTGGCTCACCAAATACTCAGACCAACCTCAGGTTTAGGTTCATAAATCTGCAGGTCACTCCTCACTCCCCAATTTCATTTCTCTTCATCCCGGTAAACTCATTTGCTTTATCTAAATAAATCCTTTGCTTACTGCACCCCATCCAATAATTGCATTATTTCCTCCCTTTCACAACTCTGCTTAAAATACAGCTTCCCTAAGAAGTACTTCCTGATTAATATTGCCACGTATTAAATTCATATTCATTCATTCTCTCTCTTTCTCATCTGTCTCTGTTAACAACACAGGCCTGCAGAGTTGTATGAAGTGTGGATTCTTGCCTGTTTCTGAAAGTGGTTTGTTTTGGAACACGGCGTCTGGGCTTCTCCAGAGAAAGAATGGGGCTCCTCCCATTCATGACCGCCCTACACTTTCACCAGCAAGTGGGTAAGGAAGAGAGCCGCTGCCCCAGGCTGCTAAGGCACCTCCTCCTGGGTCTCAGCTGAGCACACTACCCAAATCAACCTAGACAGAGCCTCACCAGTCAGCTCCCCAGTCAGGTACGTAGCCATTTTGGAGAACATGTCCCGGCAGAGTTCATTGATGTCAGCCTCGGCGGGCTCCTTTGCTTCCTCGGCTGTTTCAACGGCGGCATCGTCTGGGCCAAGGGAGAATGGGTAAGTGTTCTCTGCCCTATACCCAGTCCAATCCGGCCAAAGCAGCCTCTGTCTACATCCCTCCCCGTCTGTCCTCAATTCGATCAAGTACGCTCCACTCTCCATCTGCCGGGATTTCAAGTTCCTCACTTCGTTTTTGCTCACCCGACACGCCAACTTTGCTTTCTTGAACAGACTCCTCGCTCAGACCCTATCCTCTGGCCAAACCACCTTGGTTGCCTTGACAGGACAGACAGGTGTGCCTCTCCTCTCTGCCTGCTCCTGCCAACCACACACTCGGCCCCGTCATCCTGGGTCCCTGCCTGGAGTCCCAGCTCTCCCACCAGACACGTCGTCTCCATCCACGCCCGGTACCTCGGGCCGGCTCCTCCGGTCTAGTCGCGGGGACTCCCTCAGCCGCTGCTGCCATGCCCGGCCCAGAGCTGCTTCCGGGCTGGGTGTCTGCGCATGCGCACTGGGTCTGCGCACTGGATGTGCCCCGCCTCCTTGCCCTCGCTGCTGAGTAGCGATCCTGAGCCGATCGCCTCAGTCAAGACTTCTAATAAACTAAAAAGTCGTGAGCCAAAATTGAAGGTAAAAAGCTATAGTGTATCGATCTGCTCGCAGAGTCATTATCCCTGGACAGCCGCACTCCGGTCATTTGGCAGCTTTCACTGGCTTGTACCAGCCACCACGAAGCTGGAGTTAGTTGTTGAACCCAAGTGTCCTGCTGACCGATGTCCCTGGAGCCAGGTTGACTCCTGCCCAGACACTCCGAGTCCTGGCAAGTGTTAGTCACAAAGGATTGCTCAGAGAATCCATGATTTCCAGGTATGGTCTTAACTGAGCTTTGGGAAACCTGATGCAGGCCTTTGATTCCTGATCCTAAATAAAGTCCCAGGTTAGCCCCGACTCTTTGGGCCCCGTTTCTTATTCTTCAGGCTGGCACCCACTTCTCTTCAGTTGATACAGCCTTTATCGGGTTGTAACTTTTTGGGGATTAGGATACACTGGTTCCACAAATCTCTTTGGTGTGTACTTAATGGAGTGAGGGAACCGAAGTGAGTGAAGGGATTGAATGAGAAAAAGTAGAGCAATGGAAGGTGCAAAATCAGGAGTGATAAAGGTCATGGTGTGTGTCAGGGGGGAGGCAGATCTCAGGCTCCTGGACACCCAAAATCTTGTTGTAGGAGTTTTTTGTCTTATCCCCCATTGTCCCCATCTGCATGTGTACACACACACACACACACACACACACACACACATCTACACTTGCCCTGACTCCCTCAAGCGGACTCTGTGTACCCAGAGGACTATATATCCCTAGGTCACCTGTCTCCATTCTTCCTTATGGATCAGTCATAGTACCTACCATCTAAAAACATTGTTATGAGCCAGAAGTTCTTATTTCAGGACTTCTTTGGCAGCCCAGTCCTTTCATGTTGTCGCTGAGCCCACTGTATATCTCCTAGAAATTATGAACCTACCTCAGCCCAAACACATGGATAGCTCACAGTTCCAAACTCTTTTTTTCTGACTAGAATACCAGAACCAAATGCAGACACCTGGCTTTTTGAAGGCGTTTTATTGATAGTCACTTAGGAAATTGCCTTGTCCTATGAAAGACTAGACAGAACCTACTACATATTTATTCAAAGATCTCTAAGTCCTGAAGTCATATCCTTGCATGATTTTCTTCAAGTGCCATTTCTCTCCTGCTTTACAGCCCCATCATGTCTTAGCATTTAGTGGAATGCCAGGAGCTGCCTTTACCACAAGAACCTTCATGGACTTTTCTGGAGTGGAGTGGCTTCACTTTAACTCTTTTGTAGTGATAGAATCTCACTGTAAGGATTCCCCTTCTCTTACAGGGAAACCCTATGGGGAAAACAAGAGACCCAGGTGTGGTAACATTTCCAGATGCACGAAGGATAAGTGTAAGATTTACTGGCAAATAGGAAGATATTTAAATACTGTCTACTCTCTTTGCGTCTACCTTCTTCATAAGTCAGAGATTTTAGTGAGAGTCATTATTCTCCCTGTACTCTGTTATTGGCATTTTTTAACACCACAGCATTTTTTTCCACTAAATGCACAGATAATAAGTCCAGTGAGAAGTGTTGTTTTACAAAACTATGTGGTTACGTAAGAAACACTGAGTCACAAGCTTAAGCATGATGCCCAACTGACACGCAAAGACATTAGCTCAAAAGTCCAGACACAGGGTGGGATTCAGCAGTAACCATAATGGACCCTAGGGGAGCAGACTCTAGAAAGTAGAGAGCATAAGGAGAGGGGTTTCTAGAGAGGCAGAGAGAGGAAAGATCCTGATTTCTAAAGCCTTAGGATCCCCTCCTCTGCCACTCTTCTGTCTACCCTGGACTCCCTAAAAGGAAGGAGTCACAGCAGGAGCTGGCTGCACGTATTCCCAAATGGCTTCTTCCTCCTGTTGAAAGAAAGAGAAACAAGTCATTTGAAGGAGTTTGTGTTTCACTTTTCCTTTCTCTGGATCTGGTTCAAACTGCTACAGATACAATATTTGCCCCCAGTATAATGGCATTAGGAGGTTAGGCCTTTGATAAGTGAGTATGGAGCCCTCATAAAGGGGATTAGTGCCCTTATAAAAGAAATATTTTTCCTTCTACTATGTGAGGACACAGCAAGAAAACAGCTGTCTATGAATCAGAAAGGCTCTCCCTAGATATTAAATCTGCTAGCACCTTAGACTTTCCAGCTTCCCAAACTGAGAAATTAATTTCTATTGTTTATAAGCCAGCCAATCTATGATAGCAAGCCAAACAGACTAAAACACAGAGCTCTTCTGTAGGGTAAGGCAGCCATTAGGCCAGAGCAACCAACTTCTAGGCCTTACCTCCCCTCTCACCTCTGCTCATATACTGGCTATGAACATGGTCCTTCAGAACCCTAAAAACATAGGTTTTTCAAAAGTGCCCTTCTCCCCACAACTGACTAGAGTTCAGCTGTGGAGAACTAGGAAGACCCAAGGGCTACACACCACTCCCAGGGATGAAGTCAGCTGCCCCTTCCTCTCAAGCATCTTCAGCTTTGAGCTCAAAGCATCAGTCTGGGTCATGGCTCCTTCAAGAACAGTCTCCAGTTGCAGAACTCTCTTTGTAAGCCTGTGCAGGATTTGAGAGAGACCAAGGAAGCAGAAATATGGTGGGGTGGCATAGCCTAGGTGTTAACAGGGATAGGGATAACAGAATAGTGTGTCTGGTTGGAACAGGGAAGGTAAGGGCCAATTATGTAAAGAGAATCACAGGGAAGCAGCAGTTTTCCCTGGGTAGGGAAGGTTGTGGGAAGAGGTTTAAGATAGGGAATTATAAACACAACCAACTTTGTGCTTCTGGCTGCACATACGTTTAGAGTTCTTCTCCAGAAACCCAGCCTCCTGCTCTGGCAGCCTCTGAGGTCCACTTGCCACACACAATGGGTTGGCCTAGATTCTCAGTCTTAGCGTTGAGGGCCACCTGATCAAAAGTCAAACATGAGAGAGGAAATGAGTCTGGGAAGCCATCAGTGCCTGTTCCAACACCTGTCTCAATGGGCTCCCAAGGCCAAGCCTTGGGATCAAGCTCTTGCTATTCCCCTTCCCTTCCAGACCCTGCAGACAATATGGTCAGTGTGGTGGTACTGAACAATCTCTAAAGAGAGAGTCACTTCCCAAAGAAGCTAAACACAAGGTCCTTGAATCCTTCATTAATAAAGTGTTCACTAGACTCTAACTCAGTTTGGGAAAGGAGAGACAGTACCAGAATTCTTGACATCTTCTTTCTAGGCTGCTATCACTCTACCCTTGAAAGGGTATCACTCTACACTAGAAAGGGATGGGGCAAGCATTGTAGGAATGTCTGAGGGTCAGATATTCCAAGAAGAAGGCAAGTCCTCACAGGGACATTTCAGGAATTTTTGGGCAATTGAGCCCCTTCCCTAAGACTATATTTTAGAACAACCTCTCTCAACCTTAGCTATGCTGTAGAATCACCTGTAAAGCCTTAGAAAGTACTGATGTCTACACCCCATCATCACAGCTTCTGATCAAATTGGCCTAGGAGATGTGGCCTGAGTATGAGGATTTAAAAGCCTCCCCAGGTTATTTAATGTGTAGCAGTTGAGAACCGCTATTCTAGGGAATTCTTTCCTATTCACGGGAGGATTTTTAATTGGGGCTGGAGCCCCAGATATGTTGGGGAGAAGGACAGGGGAACAATATCCTTATGTTGTCTTCCCACCAACCAGCAGTTCTCACCCACTCCTCCTCCAGGTCCTGCCGCATTTGTTCCTGCTCCTTCTCATCCAGAATGCAATTCCTATCCTGGTCAAACCTAGTGAAGGTGCTCGTGAGCTCAGTGATCTCATGCTCTGTGTGCCCCATCTGTGGAGAACAGGATGATGAAATGACTTCTGCCCTTTTGGGGAGGTGATTACTCAACTGTGGACTCCTCACCATTAAACTAGTCTCTGATAAGGATCTTGACCTCTGGGTCTTGCTTTGTAGGAAAGAAGAGGACCATATGGGAAAGCCAGGACCTCCAACAACTAGAAATGTTATCCATAAGAAATCATTTGAATCTATTTCTTCTTCCTGTCCTGATTTGTGCTGATTGAATTTAGGGACTCATGATTTCCTACAGAGATTATTGCAACATCTTCTTGCCTCTAAATAACCCGCCACCCACTTCCTCCAGTGTCCCTTCACTCTATCTTCCACAATATAACTGATATTTTTAAAAATGCTGGCCTAATAGCTAGGAACGGTGGCCCATGGCTGTAGCTTCAGTTACTCTGAAAGTTGAGGTGGTAGAATTACTTGAGTCTACAAATTTGAGACAACCCCGGGCAGCATAGCCAGATGCTGCCTCAAAAAACAAACAGTGCAAGTCTAATACACCCTTTATCTGCTTAAAAATTCCTTTTGGGCACCACGTTCCTTGGATAGAGGCCTTTCCCAGTGTGGTCCTTGCCCATTTGTCTGGCTTCACCTCCTGTTATGACTTACCTTTTATTTTCATACCATAGCAATGCTTAACTACTTGTTTCTCTTAATGCTGCTTGATTTTAGACCTCTGTGTCCCTGTATGCTTTCATTTCATCTTACAGTGGCTTCCTTTTGTGTGTCTACTCATAAGCTATTCATCTTCAAAGACTCTATTCAGATCTTTTCCAAGAACTTTCTCTTAAGTTCAAAGGGAATTGATAACTCTCTTTGTTCCACACTCCCTCGCTTTAAATCAGTCACTTTGGTTGTTTAACTTATACTGTGATTTGTTTTTTGTTTACATGTTTATGAACTCTTAGAGGACAAAGACTTTATTTCATTTAATTATTTTGTCCCCTGCCCCACAGCTGGTGCTAACAAAATATTTTGTGGAAGTGCGGGATATATACAATAATAAGGGAATTATACTATATTGTTAGATTAGTTCTAAAAGTTGTTAAATAAAGCCAAGATTGTTATATACAACTGT